TTAGCTGTAGAGGCTCAACAATTTTAGACAGAAAATTACTGAATGACTGTTTTAAAAAAAGAGGTGTTAAACCATTACTACTTTGAATTTTGCAGAGTTGGAACTAATCTGGTGGTCAGCCAAGAAGCTAGACAAAATTACTGCATTCATTTTGATCAGTTGTTAGATTTCAAATAAATAAATATTCCAGTAATGGAAGGAACAGATGCATGAAAACTTTCATACAACCTCAACTCAGATATGAAAGGAGGAGGAAGGGGGGGCGTTTGTTGTTTCTGTTCCTGCTTCCCAGGAAAATAGCCAAACACTGTTTGCTAATGGGAAGTAGAGAATAAACCTTGTTATTTCCCTCTTCACTTGTGCACATGCAAACTTTCTCTTTTGCTTCAGTAAACTGCCTTATCCCAATCTACAAGTCATTTTACATCTTATTCACTCTCCCCTGTCAGCCTGGTAAGGAAAGTGATGGAGTGGCTTGGTGGACACCTGGCGTCCAGCCAAGGTCAATCCACCACAGCAGGTTTTCCGTGTAGATCATTTCTTTGTCTTGCAATTTATGTTACTAATATTGTTATGTTACTTTTTGTTTTCATATCTCACTGCTGTCAGTTCTTGTCTCAACTCGTGACTTTCACCTTTTTTGCCTCCAATTCTTAACTCCATCCTGCCAGAGCGGGAAGAGGGAAGGGAAAGGAGGAGCAAGCGGCAGGGTGGTTTGGAGTCTCTATGGGAGAACTGAATTCCTAAACCATGACACACATGTATACATATATATATATATAAATTAAGGCATAAATACAAAGAGATATGACTTGTATATATTCTAGTGAAGGCTACCTAATACAGTATGTGTGTCATAACATATTTATTAGGCAAGTGAATCTGCATTACTCTGATACTCATGTACCATATCACATAAAAGGAAAATGTAAGTTCCTTGCTACAGTACACTTATCAATACCCAATGGACTGTCTCTCAAGCCTCCTTCATTCTGGCTTTGGACTATTGGTTTTGTCCTACTAATCAGTGCTAAGAGCTTAGTTTCTTATTGGGACAAGAAGTCTAAGAAGGCCTCAGTGCCATCAGGATTCACAGTATCATTGGTACATTCAGTACCATACACTGGGCACCTCAGTTCATTACAGCAAATACTGGTGCATAAAACCTCAAAACTGCCCGCTTGTCTGATCTGAAGTGCACCACTGATGACATCACATTCATCCTACAGTCATGCCTGGAGGAAAAAGAAGTCCTCAAGAAACTCTGTTTTCAGTGATCAGGTTAAACCTTGGAGAGTTGACTTGCAGTCTTTCAAAACAAAAGTTCACACTGCTGCCAATGCCTAGACTGGCATTGATCAAAGATCAAAGCGACAATATTTGATAGGACTGTCTTTGCCTCCGCTTTTTGGCTTCAATGTGAACCAGTTCACTGCTTAAACGAGACATATTTCTTGATCACTTTCTCCCTCAGCAAAACTGTGGTCCATCCACCCAGCACATAAATTAGATTTGCATTGCAGATTTTGGAAAGCTCAGAGAGCTAAAAAGAGTCAAAATAAGTGAGGTAGTTGAGATGTGGCTGTACAGTTAAAAAGTAGCAGAGAATCCTTGCTGTCAATTGTGACCAGTGGTAGGTGATCTGGTACATATACTGTGCTCAATAGTGTAATGATGTTGCTTTAGTACTCTGTTTTATTGTAACTTTGGCAGTAAGTTTCCATTGATATTTAGCACAGATTGTGGTGGGATGTATAGGTAAAAGTGTTTTTTCCATGATAATAGAATAATTTTTTGGTTTTGTATTGTTTTCTTTTGTCTCAGTGGAAATTGTCACACAGAGTACAGGGGAAATGTGCATGCTCCTGCAGCATCATTATTATTGAGCAAGCTCATTTCAAGCTTCAATAAGAGCCTGTTTTTTCTTATGAAAATCACAAAAAAATTGTGTGGATTTTTCAAATCACTTAATTTGAGTTTGACCTTTTACATGTTTTACTATAATGCCCTTATAGTAGATTGCAGTTAGAATAGACAGTAATAGTTTTATAGAGTTTTAAGCTGTTTTTCCAAAATAGTTTAAACCCAAGCAATTTATAAGCAGTTAGAATGACTCTGCAAACTCCTACATGCATGAAATGTGCTGTGCATAATTTGTTAATTTTGTTTAAGGAATTTCAATGGAACCATTTCAGCTAGGGCCTTTAGAGTAAGTAGGAAGGGACAGATCCCTCTGCCTTCTTGTTTTTGCAAATTTCAGGCAGATCTAATTTTATCATGGTGGTTTTGCTAGCAGAAGGTGTTGCTCCTACATTTTTTTTTCCTTTATGCACATCCTAGGGTGATGGTATTAGGAAAGAATGAGACTGATCATTGAGTAAATTCTCCAGTGTACAGAGAGGCCTGTTCTGCAGGATGTGTTTTCCGTAATGAAATGCTGCAGTTTATGTTTTCTTCCCATGGAGGATGACCACACAGCCTGTCAGATATTGGCCCTGCTAAAGTCCTGTTTACTTGATCAATGATAAGAAGAGCTGGACCACAAGGATGAGAGAACTCTTAGTGAATCAACTAAACGTGTGTGCCAGTTTGGACCACGTAGCTGTGTCATTCTCTGCCATCTGCCACTGCAAAAACTCTTTAGCACCAAACAGGGTTACAAGAAAGCAAGGAGAAAATATCCAACCTGTCCCAAGGCTGTGTTCTGTTACTGTGTAGCTGTTGTTTCTGTTTACTGCAAGAACTGCTTCTCAGCATAAAGTAATGCATTAGGTAGTAAAAGTGATTTCTGTCAGCATTAAGACAAGTGATGTGAAAAGTACAGCTCAAGATTTCAGTACATGGAACTGTTAAAGAGGGGTTTTAATTTTCTGGGAAACCAAGCAATACATCCTGAAGCATTCACCATTTGCTTTTCCCTTGGAAAAAAATAATTTACTCTAATTTAATTGCTTGCTCAAATATCCTTTGTTAAGCAAATGAAATGTGTTTTCGTTCATCTTTTGAAAAGGAGGAAAGATTCCAAAGCTTCTGGGTAGAAGAATAGCTGGCTACAGGTATACAGATTCCATTTTCAGTTTACCAGATTCATGCAGAGGTTAGAAATTAAAATACATACGTCTTTCCATTTGATGTTTGCTGGTTTTCAGCAGGACCTGTCCCTTCTGCTGCCCTGTGCAGGGGAGGAGAACTGTATGCACACACCTAGAGCAGATCCTCATTCAGTTGTGCTCTTCTTTCTAGTGAAGAGATTTAAGCCCAGCTCTGTTGCTATCAAAAGTAGTGTTCATTTACTATTCAAACAATCACTTCTTTCATCTCCTGAGCAAAAAAGTTGACTCAATAGGAATGCTAGATTCTGCCTGTGGCTATGCTGGAAAACAAAATGCTGTTTTCTCTCTTTCTTTTCTTCTCCTTTCCGCTTTTTAAAAAAAAACTTTTAAAGTAGAGTAAAGTCACTTTGTCAAATGCACAGTAAGGACTAATTAGTCAGTGTTTGTTTAGAGTTTTGGATGCCTTAAGCCTTATTTGGGATGAGTGCTGAATATCAGTCATCTTCATGCAGCGTCTTGATGGAGGAGTTTCTTTTTTACCATTTAAATCAGGTGCAATTTAGGATTTTATTCTCAATGTTTGTGTATGTTTTTATACACATTTGTTATGTATTTGCATATTAAGTTACAGATTTTCAAGTATGTATATTTTCAAAAAATTGAAGTGTTTTATATGAAGAAAAATACACTTATACACTTATATTTCTGTTTTATTTTCAACATATTTTAGCTGGTCAAGGTATTTCATAGGTATTTGAATATTCTGAATTACTACTTGGACATCCTCAGGTCAAACAGGGAACTACTTTTATCTGTAGAAATGAGAGTATCTTTGCAGTATTAGTGTTGCCAGTTGCATGCCTGAATGATTTTGCTCAGTATATTGCATTGTCTTCTATTAGTAAAATACCACAGCCAGAGTAAAAAATTAATTTAAAGTGGTTTTTGAGAAGAAAACTTAAATTCTTGTGGGAATTGTCTAGATTCAGATGCAGAATTTTACTTAAGATTAATGCTAACATTTGGAATTGAGCAAGAGAAGACTTGTTCTTTTATGTATTGTCAAGGGTTTTTTTGAGGTGAAGAGAGAGTGAGGATGTGTAATTCTAAATATGATGTTTCATTATTTTATTGTATTTGTGGTTTTTAGGGCTAGAATTATGCTATTTGAACAAATGTTCCTTAAGTTTCTTAATGCAACTTAATGGAATCTCTATGTTACCTGATTCTAATACAGATTTTTCCACCTATTTCCAGATTTTTTTCACCTATTTCCATGCAAAAAATAACATGAACTCGTGTAATTGAATGTTCTTCACAGGACTTATCTAAAATGATATATTGATAGCTCTGTGTTCAGCTGTTAAGATAAATATTTGATTACATCTGTATTACTTCAGAAGATTTCATTTGTTGGAGGACTTGGTAGTCTATTGGTAGATGAAAGAGAAAGTACTTTTTATACAGCAAAATATGCTCCATTTTAGAATCTGAGGAATTGAACTTTGGTGCTGAAACAAAATGCAGGCAAAGCCTCTCTCTTTGGGAGAACAAGAATGTGAACCTGAGTAAAGAAATCTGTATTTCCATTTTTTTTCCTGATAAAGCAATCAATGTATGGACATTTGTGAAAAATTTTAAATTACTATGTTTTCTCCATTTACTGACATTGTGGGGTTCATCTTATCTTTAAAGATATTACAGCATCAGGTGGAAAGACCTTAAATCAGTGCAGTTACACCCTTCTCTTGTGATGTGTCTGTAAAACACATGTATGTTCATATGCAAGCTCATGTAATATAAAACCCAAAGCTAACAGCAAGCAGCTAGATTTTTATTTTTCCTAGTTTGAGTATGTTTGGAAAATTTATTTTTTCGTATTTCTATTTGCAGATCAGATAGAATTACTGGCACAATATGTAAATTTATTCTTCTATTTTTATTTAGTTTGACAAAGGATATGCTTACAGCATTCGCCACAGCTATGGGAAAGAAGGAAAGAGAACTGATTATACCCCATACAGCTGCATGAAGATTATCATGTCCAATCCACCAAGTCAAGGGGATTATCATGGTGAGTTCCTTAAGGAAAAATCCCAAATGTTTACAAACAGCAGAATCCTTTGGCTGTTAAAGAGAAGTTAGTCTGTCCTGTAGTCTCTTAAATTAAGTATTTAATTTCCAGACCCTAGTGGTTTTGAACTGTTCTCTTTAGATCGGACTTGACTCTATTTATATATGTTGTGTCATGCAGTTCTAGGAGACTTTAAATGTACAGATGCATTAAGAAATGACCAATTAGAGGTGTTCTGAGATCTAAATTCAATTGTACAGGAATTCTGAAGTTTGGTAGGGTACTTTAAAGCCTCCTGTCTCTGTATGACTAAATATGGAAAACCTGCGCTGGCTTCACTGCTGTTATGCTAGTACTAAGTCATTCATTCAGCTCCGTCTCAAAACTAATTCTGGAACAAAAAAACTTCACTGTTATTTAGGTGGTGGAACTTTCTAAGGTATTTATAAAGAGGTATTTTTAAAATGGGCTGTGCTTTAAATTACTTGTCTTTTCCTGTGGTGTTTTTTTTTTTTTTTTCACTATTAAATATACCAATGCTATCATTGTTAGGAGGGAATGAACTTAAACTCTTTTCCTGTCAGTGAATGGAATTATGGCCTGTTTACAGTGGGATATTTTATATAACTCTTTAGCCTGTGGTACCCTGATAACTGTGCAGTAGAATAATTATTTAAAGAAAAGGAAAAAAAAGCTAAGCAGTCGTACACATGGGTAATTAACTTTCCTATTAATAAGCTGTTAGGCAATTAGGAACAGCTTAGCTGGTCTCTTGAGTGCCTTACTGCACTAACTCCTGAGTAAACAGCCTTGTTTGTGAGCTTGCTTGTTTTTGACTGTCAGGGTGCCCATTCCGCCACAGTGATCCTGAGCTACTGAAGCAAAAGCTGCAGTCATACAAGATCCCTCCCAGTGGAATAACTCAGGTAAGGCGTATTTTGCTTGACACTTTAATTATTAAGGCACTGGTTTTCAATTTTACTTTCTATTTGTGTAGGAATGCTATATGCAATTTGTCAGTGTGTATTGTGAAATATTTCTTCTTGTGAAAGGTTTAAACCAGAATCTTGGTTTTTTGGCTGCAGTGCTTCTGCTGACGTGATGATTATCGTCACCAGCTTTTATTGTTTAATATTATGAGTTGATTTATTACTGTGGTGGATACAGTGCAGAATTTTGTTCTACTGCACTGTGATTAAAAAAAGAAGTTTAAATGAATATGGCAGTGTTTTAGAGAATTTATTTTTATTCTTGCAGTGACTTGTGGATGACTACTGTGTAGTCAGTAGACATACGTAATTGGTTTTATAATAAACTTCTAAAACCCATACATTCTTAATCATCCATTGTGCTAACTTCCCTTAAATAACAAAAGCACATGAAATCCCTAGTGAAATTATGCAGAGATTTTTATCAGGTTTTAAACATGTAAGATTAAATTAAAAACCTATCTTGTATAGCAAGGTCAATGTAGGAATTGGAACTTTGAGGTGTGTACTGAAGAACTGACTCTAGCAAGAGCTGAAGGCAGTGAAAGGTTGCCATCATTTTCACTAGAGGAAGACGTACAGGTTAGATTTAAGCTGAGACAGTTCACCAAACAGTTGGGTATATTAACTGCCTCAAACTGGCTTTAGATCCATAGGAAAAACCTGCTTTAAGTGGTTGTTTTGAGTTCATGTGGAATGTCACCATTGCTTGTCAGGCATCCAAAGACTGTCAAACTAGATAGAAAAGAATGTGAAAGTTCCACTTCAAGCAGTCTCCCTTGGAAGGAATAATTAAGGTACAAATAAAAAGAGAATAGTTTTAAAGAGTTTAGTGTTCACTCATATTCATTATTGACAAATTCTTGAAATACCCAGACTTTTTCCTAGTTATGCTTTTTTTGTTGATGTTTCCCCCCCCCCCCCGCCCCTATTTTCTCCTGGTTCATATGAATAAGACTCCATATATCTGACACAAGACATACTTTCCTTTGGCTTTTTTCCTTTTTATATGCATCAAAAATTGATGCTGGTCTGAGATTTTTATCCTACTAATCATTGGAAGGATTGGTGAGGATTACTGGTTTAGCAGCCTTCTGTATGTGTGGGTAGGATTTAGTAGAGGTTATTTCTTCAGTGAATTTGCACAGTAAGGCAGTATCTTTATACTTGACATAGTTCCTTATTTGTGTTTTTATTTTTGTGTGTCTGTACTTTTTTCCTTTGTAAAGTACAATTGGAATTCACTAGGAGTCCTAAGTTGTCTTACGAAAAGTGACTGAGAAAAACTGTCTCCACCAGTGTCTCCTTTGCCCGGAAATAGATGCTGTCCGGTCCATGAATTTTGTGGTGTCATTCTAAGTGCAGTCAGAGTACAGGGCTCTGCAGTGTCCACTCCTAGTGTTAAAAAAAACCAAATCCAAAACAATACATCCTCCACCCAAACCCAAATAATAATAAAATAAAATATAAATAAATAAAAAAGTTGACTGTGCCTGGGTTTTCAGAAATTAATCTTTTACATCAGTCTTTGAGATATTCAGTAAGAGAAGAGGAAGAAAATTAGTTCACATCAGTCTACAAGTTTTCATTATTGCTGCCACTCCTTGTTGCTCTGTTTGCATGGTCCAATAATGTTTGCATAACTAATAACAACTGAGGATCCTTCAGTCCAGACAGTGGCTTTTAAGAGTCTTTTCTGATGCTGATGATTATCAGAAAGGTTATTTTTCCTTAAGCTCAGTGAATGGGTATTAGGGGTGGTTTACCACTCTTTCAGAGCCTCCGATGTTGCTTTTCCAGTATCTGGGTCTTTAGGATGACATTCACCCAAACCCTGCATACCTTTTTACTCTCTTAGACCTCCTGTTAACTCCAGATCTAATGAGAGCTCCCTTACAACCTGGTAGATTCCTATTTTCAAGGAATAGTTCAGAGCTTGACCTTTCAGCTATGTATTTTAATAAATAGGGGCTCAGGGCCTCTTCCACTTGTTCCTTGCTCTGTAACAAAATACTGTGAATGATGCATAATTTTTCAAACATTTATTTTGGATTTAGTTATGTAGTTATGAATTGATTCCCCACTGGGATTTTCATCTTCTGGTTTAAAGTACTCACATGTCTTCCCTTGAAGCCCGTGAACAAGTCCCTTTCTCCTCTTGGCTTCTCTCCTGGCTATTATGTGAGCCAGAGTGTGGACTAGTGTCTAGCCCTTATGGCTGTGATTTTACCCAAGATGGTTAGTTTTGTAGTGGTGTTGTTCTCAGTCATCCGTTTCAAGAGCTGTCCATACTCATAAGAATTCCTGAGTTATTGCCATACAGATAAAGCATTTGGCTGGTGTGGGGTGGAAACAAACCCCATCCTCAAAGGGTTTTTCACACAGGATTAGGTGTGAAAAAAGAACACTGGACCTTGGGATGATGATGCAGAGCAAATACAGCCAGACCTCACATGACTTCAGCAATCAGTCAGAGCATTAGACTGCTTTCATTGCATCTATTTTGTAGCACTGTCAGTACTGAAAAAAGTGATCAAAACATTTGAATATGTGAATGTGCTTGCAGTGAATTATCTAGATCCAATCTGCTGTTCCAGTCCAGTCTATATTTTCTGAGGCTTTATCTTGTTTAAGATTTTATCTGCTGAAGTCATCTTCTGGAAATAATACAGGAGATGACTTCCAGGTCTTCTCTAGTTATTATGTAGCCTAAAGCAGAAAGAATTAATCCTGATGTTTATTCCAAGAACTGAATTATTCAATTTGTATTAATTTCACATTTTCCTTAGGCTAGGCTATTTCTTTATTTGTGATTGTAGCCTTTTCTGTTTCTTTTAAAAATGCTTCATGGAGAAGGAATATGGTTAGCTGAGCATCAAATGTGTGAAAGTATAGCATTTGAATTTATAGTATATTTTGGTCAGATTTCATTTCTATCTTTCCTATATTGCTAATTAGGTGAAATCTTTATGAAATCAGACTTGACAATAACTAATCAATTTGGAGACTGTAAAGATGAAAATATATGTTAAGCTATTTTGCCTTTACATATGGGACTTTGAAGCCATTGTCCCCTGTCCTATCACTACATGCAATTGTTCAAACCAAAAGGGAGTTGGTTTAGATTAGATATTAGGAAGAAATTCTTTCCTGTGAGGGTGGTGAGGCACTGGAACAGGTCACCCAGAGAAGTTGTAGGTGACCCGTCCCTGTCAGTGCTCAAGGCCAGGTTGGATAGGGCTTTGAGCAGCCTGGTTTAGTGAGAGGTGTCCCTGCCCATGATGTGGGCTTTGGAACTGGATGGTCTTGAAGGTCCTTCCCAACCCAAACTGTTCCGTGATCCTATGATAAATTCATTGTTGTGCTGCTGTACTAAATTCACTATAGTGTGTTGCATGCACATCTCATGCAGGAAGATAGAAATTATAGGCTTTGAACTAGAGTTATTTCAAAATATTGTATTATTGGTTTCAGAAAGTTTTCTTAGAGAAATTACCTATTTCCCAATTTGCATTTTTCACAACAGGAAAAGCCAAAGGTAGTCAAAGTATGTGGTTCTACAATCAGGAGAAACAGAGGTTCTAGACTAATTTTTTTTTGCTTTTCTTAGGAGGAAAAGCATTTTTTGAGGGGAAAAATGCTTATTTAAATTAACAGTAGATAACTTTAAAAGATGGCATTTTTTTTCTAGTAAAAGTGTTCTCTTAATTTAAAAAGGTTTTTTTTCCCATAATTGAGTGAAATTAGAAGTTTTGATTAAGTTGTTGAACTTTGTCTAATATTCTCTAACAGATTAGTGTTTTGTGGGACTGGAGAATCTTCACAGAGATAGAAATAAACAAGCCAATCTGTGCCTAGGCCTTTTAAAGTTTGGATTTCATATTCTAACCAATAGAAGGATGTAATAAAAATGTAGTCAGGTGCTATTGTGACTGTTTATTATTGAATCACAGTATGGTTGAGGTTGGAAGGTGTGTCTGGAGGTTATCTGAGAAAATTGTGCTATACGTGCACACATTACAAACATGAAACCTTCAAAATCCATTTAAAACATACAGGAAATACTTGAAATCAGTAGAAAGGACAGATTACTGTACTGACCAGGAGGCAAAAGGCACTGGGGAGTCCTGGGACCAGATTTAGTGTTGAGGTGGTCACAGAGTGGCCTGAAAGAGAAGAGTGTTCAGATAATCTCCAGCAGTTGCACCCAATCATATCTTCAGTCACCTTTGAAATAAAAAGAATGATAGAATCTTCAGGTTGGAGAAGACCTTCAAGATCATCACCCAACTCTGTCAAGTCCACTACTAAACCACTTCCCCAAGTGCCACATCTACACATCTTTTAAATACCTCCAGAGAGGTTAGAAATGAGTCATACATAACTGAATCTATAGTAGAAAGATTTTCATGTTAAAAATATAAGTTAATTCTGCAATTTTAAAAAAGCCAAACCCAAACTTACTTTGAGTAAGTGAAAACAATAATGGATAATTATAGAGCCCCAACTATCCTCCTATGAAACATCTTGTCTTTGAGTGCTGAGGATCTGTAAAAGCAGGTGGCTGCATACAGCTGCCAAACATCATCTCAACCTCATTAGTAGTCAGTAGAGCAACATCAGAAAAGCAAGTTGCAGATGGCTGTGAAGAAAAAGGCACATAAGGACTAACAGAGTCCTTGAGTATGTACCTTCCCTTGCAAAATAAAGCAATGCAGTGTAAATATCTTAATATATGTAGAGGCAAAAGATTGCTGCTGTGAATTGAGTTTTGAGTGGAGGTCTGTTACTGGGTAACACTAGTGAAAAACAGCTCTAAGCTTGCTTTCATTATGTACACAAATGTTTGAAAGATAATACTTATTATGAATGATAATTCTGTTAATTCTGTTTTATTTTAGAGAATTGATAGTTTCTCTCACACAGATGACTGCTTTCCATCTGGGCTCCATTCTATTCCAGTTTTTAACCTTTTTTGTTTTCTTTGTTAGCAACTTGATCCCTGATTAAAGCAAGTTAATCTACTAACCCTGTTCTTCTTTGAATATGTTTGATGTGTCCCTTATTCCTCAGTCCTTTCATATATGCAGAAGGTGAACCTGGTCCCCCTGATGTGGCTGGTTTAATCTTAAGTCTGTAGTAAACATCAGGCTTATCATTTATGCCTTGTGGCTGTCTCAGAAGGAGCATGAGCTAAATCATAACTGCTTTTTTATTTTTGTTCTGAATGAGCCACAAACATTGGTCTGACTTTTCTACCCAACCACAACTTTTAATCAGCATTTAACTTTGTCATCTCTGCTTGTCGAATTTGGCTGAAATTGGCTAACTGTTTCAAGCTGAGGAGGTGATGTGGTGGAGAGGGTAAAGGAACAGGAGTAAAATGATGACCAGTGCAATCATGTATATTGATAAATTTAACAAACTGGATGAAAGTCTCTGGACTGTTCTGGTTCTATGGAGCACTGAATCAATATGCTATGTCAGTGATTCCTCTTCTGATATCTGTCACTTGGAATTACCATTTTTCCACTGAACTGTCAGAGAAGACAACAGCAGCTTGATCTGAGCTCTTGTGAATTAATAGTAATTAAAATAATAAAATAATAAGAATCATTGAAAGCTAGCTTTGGTAATCCTTGTCTTTTCTACGTCTCAGGGTGGTTGAACAGTGACATCACTGATACAAAATGCAGGTGTAACCGTGGTCTGCAATTCAGAAGTTAAACAAATTGTAGAACGTCTCTTAGTATTTAACTGATAAACTTGCTCAAAATGTTCACTCAAGTTATAGGAGAACCTTGATGCTTTTTGTCTTTTGGGGTTTATAGCAAGAATTTGTCCATACCTAAGTTTATATTTACTTACTTAAGGTTACTGAGACTTCAAATGTATTTACACCTAAATTTAGAAAACTTCATATTTATATAATTTTATTAGGTGTAGTCTTGGCTAAACGAAGAAAAATTTTGAGAAAACCTGAAGTGTTTATGAACTAGATTAGAATAGTTGACTTATTTCAAATGGAAAATTCAGGTTAGAACAATCTGAATACTACAGAACATCATGAATATTTCTTTCAACTAACCAGCAGACAAACAGATCTTCTGATAATTATTCTAAATTGTATGAAAAATACTTTTTGAGAAAGTACATACACACAACATGGTTAGCATTTTCTTTAAAATAGAGATAGCTCTTCAGCATAGCATAGCATATTGTAAGGAACAAACAGGAAAACATAAGGCAATATAAAATTGAATAGTTGAATTTAGAATAGATGAGTTTTCTCCAATTTTTAACTACTAACTTTTTCAGTCAATTTCAAGGAGAGAGAAGATTAAAAAAATAAATAAATTTATGTACTCAGATAGTGCCAGATTTCAGACTTCATCGCCCAGTTGGCCTTGGCCTTGCTCTTTTGCAGAAGGTTTAACAGGAGGTGGTAAGAGGGATAGAAATATAATCACTTGGGCTATTACATAGAAATAATGTGGCTAAGTACTTTCCTGGCACTGTGGTGCTGTTTTTATCCATTCAGCAAATGTAATTTATTTATACATCTGTCAATAAATACAGGGCAGCAGCCGATAATGAGTACAGCGGGGATTTAGGCTGTGTATTGCTGTGTTTGACACAAAGGTCAGCCTTGGGAAAGGGCTTGAAATTAGCATTTCTTGAAAGTTATTTTTCCTTCCACTGAGGCTATCTCTTAATTCCAGCAATTTTCTCTGTTTGATAAGCAGAGCGAGCATACATTTTGATTATATAAAGGAGGGAGGAGGTGATGAAACTTTAAAATATTTCAACCAGCAGTGCATTCTGGTGATAAGAATGGGACTTTATGCAGCACAGAAGAGATTACCTGAAGTAGAATTGGAAAGCAAATTGTATTTACAAAAGATGGCATGATTTTCCTAATAGGTGTTCAAAACAACCTATTCACTCACATATTCTGCTGAGCTTGACTAGAAATAACTTCATTTCAAAAAGGACAAATCTGATTGAAGGTAAAAGCTTTCCTCTCTCACAGATACTTGTCTAAAGGATTTGCATTAAATTTTCTTGATGGGAGCATAGTATTTTACTGTGCATCTGCATGAACTGGTAATGTGGAAAATAAAAATACAAATCGTGTCCTTGATTGCTTCATGCTTCAAGCACTTAAATTACTAGATTTATGTCTGCAGTTTTGAAAGAGATGTTTCAATATGATACTTTGAGAATAACTGTCACAATTATATTACTTAAATACAGATTCAACTTACTGTTGAAGTTAAGAGTATTGAAATTACATTTTAAGGGCCAGGCATACCTTCGTGTGGTTTTATCTTGTTTCTAGTGTAGCCAGGGCATTTTTGAATGTTGTCAGTTATTAGCAGAATATGCAGATGTCATGTGCTGCAAGTGTCCATGAGCTGTTGTACAAGGCTGTTGTGGAATACCTTGTTGTGGAAGATAAACAAGATGTAGATGTGCCACTTCTGAATCTGTCACATTTTTCTCCCTCTGTGTAGATCCTGGAGTTGGTGAAGGGCATGCATTACCAGTTGGCCTGTCAGAAGTACTTTGAGTTGACACATGAGGTAAGTAGCTACTAATTTTTGCTTCAACTATTGTCACTGATTTTGTCTTGAGGAAGACCTTGGAAATCACCCTTGAAGTCCAGAGACTAATTTCAGTTTGCACATTAGCTGTCTTGCCTTGTTAGTTTTCAATAATTTCAAATATTCATTTGTTATTTTCTGCATTTATTTATTGATGTTATTAATACCCTCAATATTACAAGGTGTAGTAAAATGTTATGCTTTTTTCCTGAAAAGGTCAATGTTGTTGAATTTTATCAATTTCAAGTCATTTAACTTTCTAAATATCCTGCTTTTAATCAAATTTATGTTTTTTTAATGCACTTTACAAGTTTGATGTTGTTTTGATACACCTTAAAAAATTAACAGAAAGTATCTAAAAATCTAATGTCTAATATCAAATATCTAATTTAAGCTAATCTCCCAGTGTGTTCATAGTTAATATTGTTAATTTTTACTTAATATTTTTTCACATCTGTAGTCAGGTGTGATTATTTTTTAAATCAAGATGAACATTCTCAGAGCTTTCCCATTTGCTTAATTGTAAGCAAAGTTAAACTAAGATCCTCCAGAAAATTGGAAGATAGCAAATGGCCACACTTTGTCTCCTGTGTGATTTCTTGATTCAAAGAACCAGCTTTTGCACTGGTTCAAGACTCCTTTCATCAAGCAAAAGCAATGAAGCACAGCCCTTCTTAAAGCTTTGTTGTCTCCACAACTCAAGAAATGGAAACGTCCCTTTCAAACAGCAGACTGTGGAACAGCCTTGCTAAAGATATGGATGAGGATTAGATGACCCTCCCAGAGACAGAGTTACCTTTTGGTTCTTCCTGGTTTTGACATTTGATTTAAATGGAACTGCTTCTCTTCACAAATTTCCAGCCATCATATATCTAAGTGCATAGTAAAGGTATACTCTGAACCTCTATCCAGTATTGTTTTGGCAGCTGTAATTTGAGAGGAACACTTTCTCTTAGTCTTAGGAAATGTGACAACAAGTCTAATAATCTGGAAATAAATTCAAAATTATGTACAATTTGAAATTTAGATAACACTTGCCCCGTGTGAGCCCAAGTCAGTAGAAATAGTATTTTCCAAAGTTGACTACAGACCCCAAGGTCAACATTCAAAGAAGAATAAATCAACACAGTGCATTTTAGGAAAACTGTCTTTACATTCTTCTGTGGCAAATTCCAGAACAGCATTATTTTTATAAGTCTTGTGGTAATATAAATATGTCTTTGCTGCTTGCATGAAGAATCATCTTTCTGCTTTGCTGTTAATAAATCTTTTATTTCATTGGAAGAAAGCAGAGTACAGAGAAAGACATCTTCTGTAGTTTGAATGGCACATGCTTATGACTGCTATTTTTTTAAAGAGAATTTAGCTGCTCAACTTGTTACCAGCCTGCTTGGAGTGATTTTTCTATCCTACAGCTGTATGCTTTATTAATTTTTGATTTTTTTGAGGTAGTTAAAAATGTGTCTCTGCCCTTTGCTTTCCTATATATCACTAGCAGAGGTTTTCAGTGAAGGAAGCTTCAGAAGAATCGATTAGCCTAACATTGTTTCTTTAAGGAGGGGAACAATTTTAAGTAAAATGTTCATAGAAATAATGGACTGGCTCATGTGGGGAATTTTGACTTCAATTATGTAAAAAATTTACCAAGGAAGTGTTTATGTTGTGTAGAGCTGTTAATGTTACCTGTAATTCTTGAAAGTTACGGTGTGTATGTGGGTTAGATTGAATATTAATGACTTTGTAATGGAGACTTGATAAGATTATATTTTTCTAAGTTCACAGGGTCAGCTTCAGTAGTCTAGTCCTTGGCACTGAGACTATGCTAATAAATGCAGCTGGACTAGAGTGAGAATGTTTGAGTATATCTTTTGGGAGGCTGGTGATGAGAGTTGTCTTTACACTTCAGTGCTACCGGTTCAAATAGCACCGGTTACGAAAAAGCTGATTTTCTTTTTATTCTGTGTAACCTAGGCTTATTAGCTTCAATGTTACACCTCTCCTGATCTTTTTTTTTCCACTATTTTGCAACCACAGAACAAAAGCTGCCATCATTTGTGTGGTCCAGTGCATTGTCTTCAGGCAGGAGCTATTGTATGAGTATGCCATTTGTTGACTATTTTAATAAGTGTGAGAAAGTTGTAGCACCATAAGTGCTCTATGTGGTTTTTCTGTAATATCACCTGTAGCATTATCAGCTGTTTTAAAGTTTTTGGTTTTTAAAGTTCTTGGTTAAAAGCTAGAGATGCTTGTAAGTTTTTCAAAACAATATTTGCTACAGGAGAAATACAAACCTAAAATTTGTGTGAAAGCCAGTGTGTACGAAATGTGCTGAATCCATGCTAGTATTACCCACTAGATGGATTATACAGTTATGTATGAAGTGATACATACTTTTGCTTAGGTCAATATATGTTATGAGCTTAAATTTTTAACTGCACAGAAAATACATTTTTCTTTGGATATAATGGATTCCAGGTAGCTTTTCAGGTGCGAATAGACAGAGCTGTTAGAGAAATCTACTTTCTCTATTTCTGATAGTAAGTTTCTGCTAACATGCAACTAAGTTAATGACAAGGCTTTTAAAACTGATGTACTTTGATCTACATTACCTAAAAATACTGTAAAACTTAGATAAAGTAAAAGCATGAGGAATCTAACATAAAAAGCCTCCGTTTTTGTGTTCAGAGTTCTTGTAAATTTCCAGCCAGAGCAGAATATTTTTATTCAGAGAAATACTCACTGAACCTTGTTGCAAATTACAGAGAACAGAATTGTTTTTGTATCACTGTATCACAAATTAAGGTGATGATATGAACAAATCTTCCTCTTTCTCTCTTCAGGCTCTTGAAAAATGTGATAGTTTGCACAGAATTCTTTTAATTAGGAGTTACGTAATCTTCAATAAGAAGTTTTGATTTAGTAATATTCAAGTTCGAAAAGGAGAAATGGTACATCTACTCGTACAACAATATTAGCTAAGAACCTGTAAATAGCTGTTAGCCAAATACCATCAATCACCTCTGAAAACAGGATTGTAGGTTCCCATTCATACAATGAACTGCTTCTACAGCTTATTCCAATTTTTGGGGGAGAGAGCAGTTTAGAACAAAATTAAGAGTTACAAAGTGACTCTTAAATTGGTCTGAAGAAAACTGAGATTTTAAGGATAAAAACCCCAGAGCTAATTAAGAGCTTCTTCTAGGAAAGCCAGTTTTTCACTATATCACTTCTTTTTAAGCCTTTCTGGTATAAAGAAGTAATTTAGTTTCCTCATAATGAAAACTGGAGCATGGATGAAAGCTGTCTGGATGAAACTCATCCAGATAAGACTGAAATGAAAAATGAAATTCAGTGATGGCTTTGGGTTTTATTTTTCTTCTTTATGCCTTAGAGTACCGAATTGGAGTGCTAGGGCTGTTACTGACTTTTAAGATTTTTCAGGCAAGGTCACTGACTACAGTTGCTAATTCATGTCTGAATTAGATTTTGTTATCCACACCACCATTTTCTAATGGAGCTAAGCTAGGCAGTGGCAATGCATTTAATCAGGGTTCCATTTAGAGTACACACTGATCCTCTGCTTTGTGATTATTCACAAGTGGCTGAAATTTAAATTGATGAGGTTTGGCATATTAAATTAGCCACACTGTATATCCTCAGGAGACTCTGTATGTGCAGAGTTTCTTGTTATGCTTGAATTGACCCCACCCTGCTGCAAAAAAGGGAACATAGTGGGAGCAGAAATTTACTGGTACATGACTCTTAGTCTTCCATTGTTTCTTGTATTCCAGGTTTGGTAAACTTTCCAATGTATTTAAAGAGCATTATTTTTCTTAAAATGTTCTTAGAATTCACATGAACTGACAGGCAGATGAAAGGTGCGGATTAGCTGAATAGGAAGTGGAATAGGAAGTGGAAGCACCTTTTACTTGAAGTAGGTGTTTCCAACTTCTGAGTCCCTCAAAAGAGGCACAAAGGTTATGCTGTGGTTTGTGGGGAGTATGTCAGAAGAGCTTACTTTCAAAGCTGAAAGCTTTGTTGATTTGAAATTGAATGTTCATTTGTCAAATAATTGCAGAGCTGAAAGATTGTACCCGCTAAGTAGATACGAGCAATACAAATATACTGCACCTTATGATAATTTTCTGAATTTTTTTCCACTGAAGACTAAATGTTCTTTGTTGTGCTTCTAGTTTTGGGATGCTAATGTTGGCACTGATGGATCAGAGCTAGGCTTGATCTGTTGAGTTTTTGTCTTAGCCTGCTGCCTTGCAAATATTGCCTTTGTGGCTAGTGGGGAAAACAGAAGGAGGTGAAGCTGCCTATTTCCATTCACAGTTTCACGCTGATACCTGACATCTAGATTTATATTGTGCAGTTGTAACAACTTGTAGTCGTATTCTCTCCTGCCACTTGCGCTCCAGACTTGTCAGACTCCCCTTTTTGTGTTGGGAAATTTTGTTTTAAGGTGTTGGTTCAATTGTCCTACATCTCTGAAGAGATGCCATTTTACTTGCTTATGTTGTTTTAGGTGTTTTGGAGTCTTACTTTTCTTTACTACAGCAATGACAGTGTAAAATAATGTTTGAATATGCCAAAGAAATTATTTTATTTCATGAAGGAAGAAAGGAAAAAAATTTGCTATGGAACTAGGTCTGTGTCACATTTACTGAGTATTTACAAACTGATGTGTTTTTCTTCAACAAAATTGGTACTTTAAAATTTTTTAATTAATTTGCTCTTGAGTATGAATAAGATGACTCTTAGAAATAAATATAATAACTTGATGTTTCTTTCTTTTTATGTGCAGGTTGATGACATTGGGTTTTCTTTGAATCATCCTAATCAGTATTTTACAGAGAGCCAAAGGCTGTTAAGCGGTGATAGAGAACCAAAGAAGGAATTAAGTAATTCAGGAAACTCTCAACGAAAAAATAATAGTCAGGAAAGCATGAATTCAAATTCGACTCCAGCCTCTTCAAACACAACAGCTGATACAGAACTGGAGGGACTGGAAGCCTACTTCGCTGAAGACTAAGCAGTTGTGTTACTTGGGTGTTATTTGTGTTATTTTTTTCTTTTTTTATCCTTCTCTTCTCTAGCTGGATTTGTCTCTATATTAAGGGATATGCACTTCACTACCTAGAACACACAGACATTTTTTGAATAGACTGAAAAAAGAAAGATAGATATTGAAGCTGTAATTGCATCCAGTACCTATTCTTGCTTCCTTTTGAGGCTGTTTTCTATGGCATGTTTATGGTTGGGAAATGAAAGTTCCTTCCCAATTATTAGGTGATTTTTGTCTGATTTACCTTTTTTTTTTTTGTTTTCTTCAAAATGTTCAAATATTTTTATCCCATTTTGTGGCCAGTTTTCTATGTATCTTCTTAATAAATAATTTGCAAAGCAAAAGTTTTTTTGTAATTTCTTTTTAGCTGTATTTGGATGGTAATTAAGTAGGGCTTCTTATGATCAAAATTACCCTCTGGAGGAGTTAGTCTGTCTCTTCTATATGAGCAGCTGAGAAAAATCAGCTTCCTCATTTGTACCTTGACACTAGATTTAGAGAACTGGCTTTGGTGCTTGAAATAGAGCATAAGCAGAGTTTAGACACCTGTATGTAAGAAAATAATCAAAAAAGGTGATACTCTCATCATGAAGAATCTAAAACCTTATTAGTATATATTCTTTTTAAAGTTTCCTCAATGTCTGAGTGTGGCTGGAACCTCTTGTGTCTTGCTAAGCTAAACAGCTGTCTGAATGCAGCCTCGAGTCACCTAAATTCCACCCATTGTCACCTAACACACGAACTGCTTTCAGTCCAGCAGTGACCACTGTGCAGTGGATGGAAGCTCTAAGCAGAGCTGGTGTTTTCTATCATGCTGTTAGAGCACTCTCCCAGGGATTTAAAAGATGTTAATTTTATTTTACCTGATGCCTAAGGAGTTTCAAGGCAATATTACACCCTCCCTGGAGAGTGACTCAGCTACTGGTATAGCCCTGTAAACGCATAAACAGGGTGTTGTCGTTGCTATTAATGTAACTTGTATTAATTCTGCAAGGCCTTAGCATGAAGACTCACTGAGCTTTAGTTTCCTGAGCTTGCCTTGTCCCACCTGAAGCTTTGTTTCAGCTGTAACAGCATCTGTCAAATGACAGCCTAACTTTGTACAGTTGTGTGCTGTACTGCCTGTAGTTTAAAATGATTCTGATGTATTTCTGTGGTTAATGGCTAGTAAGTAATAAGTAGTTATTTTGTATGGAATTAATTAATATATAATTTTAGATACCCATTATTAAACAAATACAACCTAAAGTGTTGTGCAAAACAAGTTTTTAGGAATAAGAGAAGAAAGAACAAATAAACAGTGTGAGTAAACTCACATGATATGTAAATGATTATTTGGCTGTAATGTGGACTTCACAGACAATGAAAAAAGAACAGCAAGTAGAATGTTTTTGGAAACGTGTTGTATTACACCAGATGGACTCCATAGAGAAGAAGGAACAGTCCCCACCATCAGCATCCACCAGCTCCTGATGAACAGTGTGGGACCCTGACTGTGTGCTGTTGGTCTCAGGACCCAAAGGGGCCATGACAAGGTGTGTGCAACACTAGAGAAAGGAATGATAGACAGAAGAGAATGTATGAGTAACTAGGTGTATTATGTTAGAGGTTTTATTTATATTGTGCTAGAGGTTTTATTTTCTCTACAATAATTGGATGATTTAGACTATTAAGACTGTGACTAGACTAAAGACTGTTTGATTACTGTTAAGATTTTGGGCTAACTGTAAAACATTGTTTTCTCATATAGAGTGTTTTTATGGGGCATAATTTGCACAGGGGTAGTGCAATACCAGGCTTTAAAAATAAAACATATAGTATGTTGTTAGGAGAGGATCCGTCAGGTTCACCATTCCTTTTATCTTCCTTGAAGTATTTCTGTAGTTTATTTAGGGACTGCTTTGTGTAAACTGCTTAGTTTGGCAGAGTAACCTGTCCTTGCTGCCATGCTTGCCGGTTGCTGCCTTTCATGTTTTGTTGTCCCTTCTACTGTACAAAATGTTATTATCCTTTACTGATCTGTCTAAATCAGAAGGCTAGTTCCTAGTAAACTTCCTTTCCACTTGCAGTCTTGAAATACTCATGGTAATTGTATTATGTCAACATCAAACTTCTGTCTTTGATATCTAGTTGACAGAAAGAAAAATAAAGGCTTCCACCCTTGTTTGCTGAGATTTGTTTAAACCCCTGAAATGCTGAAGGATCTACACAGTTTAGATTGGACAAAGGTTCTGATCAGTGGGTGTAATTCAATTCCCCAAGAAACCTGAACTGTTTAGGTAGGTAAATTGATTGGGATACAGGTATAAAAATGGTTGGGATAATGTCTAGAGTGAATTGTGGCTGCAAAATATATAGGTGTAGATACCTAAATGATAACTTGTTAACAGAGGAAGCACTGAAAGGCTTTAGAAGTGATTTAGGGTAGGTAAAAAGTAGATCAGTTGCTGGAGACTTAAAGTTGGTATCAGCATGTATCATTTGAGGGACAGCAGGACTTGGTGATTAAGTGCAAAAAGAAGGAAAATGTATGATTTCTCTTAAAAATTGCAACCACAGTGAAAGGATCACAAGATACTGTGTTTCTAGCTGAAACGAAAGTTTTCAACTAAGTCAAAGATGTTTTGGCACATAACCATAAACCTTAATTAAGAAGGTTCATGAACATGGGATAATGAAAAAGACATCAGTATAACAGAAGCAAATATGGCACAACCTTAATATTTATTTTTTTGGAAGAGTATTACATTCTACTCAGGATCAGGGTTGTATCGTGGGAGGTGTTATGCAAACAGAAAGTCTCTGCCGTGCTCAGTGGCAGGACTTACAAAGCGAACTGCAATAAAAATCAACTTAGAAGAAATGTCTTTGCTCAGACTGAACTAGTGAAATGGATGCATGAACTACTGGATGAAATGTAATGGTCTGTGTTGCGCTGTTCAAAGTAGATTATCTGGCTGGCCCTTTTGGCCATTAAAGTCTATGACACATGGATTTATTTTTATGCTTAATAAGAATTTAATCTTCCACGCTGTGAATGGTTGGTCCTTGGTTCAGACAGCTACTCTAGTGCTTTTGGGTAGAATACAGAGGCAGTCTAAGAGAGACTGAAGAGTTAGAAATGTGTGATTCAGCCACTCGGTGTTCAGGTCTTTGACGTGTCCGTGGTTTGGCCAGCTACAGTTTTCAGAGAAATGATTGGCTGTAGAAAAGTAGCAGGAAACCTGCGAAATGACTGATTCTACTCTGGTCTTTGGCACTGGAGCATAATTAAAAATACGTGAAGTTCTGAACATGCTGTAGGTAAAAAGCAGTAATAATTGCTGTTACTATGTGACTTTGAATGGAAGAAAAGGAGAATCCTTGTCAACTGTGGCTTAGGAGGCAAGGGGTTTCTTATACAGTCTCTCAGTTAAATCAGGAGGCACTGTTGAAGGTAATGGTTTTATCTACAGTGATCACATTTTTCTCTTTATGATGATGTCCTGAGGGGTGGTTTTAAAACTGCCTTTTTCAGGCTCTAGCATTATCAGAAATATAATTTTTTACAGTTGGGGAAACTTTTCACTTGGATTTAGGTTTTGACCTATGGTCTTCTCACACTTTCATCATTATTGCAGTATATAAAGAATAGCAACTACAAATATCTAGATCAGTATACAAATACGAGAAGTAAATTAATTATTTAAATATATGTTTCAAATCAATTGTAGGGTGTGTAATTAAAGTAGTTGAATATGTTGGTAGTGCAGCTGTAGTAATATGGCGAGTGCAAGCATACGTGAAAGCAGTGCTGTACTCCTCTTCCAGTCTATTTCTACTTGGTGTGTTTATGAAATGTGTATTTCTCCCCTTTTTACCATTCATTTAAAAATTGTTATAATTTGTTTTGGAAAAATTTCAAATGTGTTATGCATTGAAAAAATACATTGGAGTGTCCTTTTTAAATTAATCACTGATTTTCATGGATTTTCTGTCTTTTGCCTCTATGTTTTGGCTAAGCTGACTTTTATGAGCTATGTAAGGCCTTACCTTGAAACCTCAGGATTTGGCAGTTTTGGATTAAAGAATGCCACTTCATTCATTTTCTCCTCATGCATCACCTAGAAAAAAATCCCTACACAATGAAAATTTTTAAGACCTTCATAGGTCATATGAAATTAACTCCTCCCTTTGCCCTTCTTAAGTTCCCATCAAATTAAATGATAAGTAAAGAAAGATAAGTAAATTTTCTTCTAAGCACATGCAGGGGGATGTAATTAGACCCAGGAGGGCTCATGACAATATGTTTATGCCAGTTCTAGGTGCAATGTTTTTCTTTTGATTACTGAATTGTTTTGGAGCATATGCAAATGGGAATTCACTTCTGAGGGAAAACCAAACTAACCTTACTATCCTTATCAGAAGTGAAAATAGTAGAATATTCACCTGCTGAACTTCCAGACTGAAGGCAAAAGTGATCTGAAGCACAGCCATCAAGCTGGCATGTCTAAATTAGTTGTCAAGCAATTTTGATGGGCTATTCACTCTTTTTAACCGCAGTGTGGGCTCCCAGCATGTATCAAGTTAGAGGAGAGAAGAGCCACTTGTTTCCTGTAGGTAACTGGAAACTATTTTAAACCAGTTCGCCTGTGTGACACTTACTTAAGGTGATTAAATACTTACCTGAGAGGGAAAAATCATCTTTCTGTATATGCCATCTACCTGTATAACTGGGTCCACTAAGGTGCTTTCTGTGAATGGGTTTTATGTCAGGATAAACAATACCTGAAGTGTAACAGACTTTTCATATTTTTGCAAGCAATGTTCTTGGCACATGTTTATTTCATTGCACGGTAAGTTCAATATTTATTAAATTGTCTGTTGCACAGAATTTAGAACACTAAACCCAGTTCTCTAGGAATGACACTCAAATCTCTGCAGTAATGCCAGTCACCAACACTCTTGGACACTTAGGGTTGAACTTAGTTTTCAATGAGTAGCAAACTCTAGAAATGCTTTTCTCCTAATTAGAATTTAGTGCTGTTTCAAAAATTTCATTTGCACTCCTCAGATGTAGTGATTCATTATTTTGTGATAATTTTAATAAAAAAGAGTTTTTTAAAAAAAGCTTTAATTACATTTAAGCTGAAAAAGTGCTTCATTTCTTAATTACAGTGTCTGACTGAAGTTTTTTTAACTCAGTTGGAGCTTATTGCCAGCAATGAAGTTTGTTCCTAATAAGTTACTTTTTTTACCCCTTTATGTTGATAGACTTAAACCTGTCCAAGTTACTGTGTCTTCCTCATTAAGAATGGCTGCAAGAACCATTTGCTCAAACAAAAATTACCTGAGGGGCATTTTT